CGGCGTACCCGGCACGAATACAGTACCAGACTCGGCGATGAAGCCGGCCACGATGGGATCCTCGACCCATGCGTACGAGAAGTAATCGACGGAGCTGCCACCAGCCGACTGCCCGAAGAGGGTGATCCGGTCTGGGTCGCCGCCAAACGCCGCTATATTGTCGCGGACCCATTCCACCGCCAGACGCTGGTCGAGGAGACCAAGGTTGGTTCTAGCGGCCGGATTGCCGGGAAAGCCGAAAATGCCCAGACGGTAGCTGCTTCGGGTTAGCCGGGAGAAGCCGTCACTCAGGAAGTCCATGGAGACTTACTTGGCGCTCACCACAACTACATCTTCCAGGTCGGCGATGTGTTTGCCATTGTACCCCTTGTTGTCGGTCGTACCGCTAGTGTAGCTCCCTCCGTAGATCCAGAAAAGCACGGCCTTCTTCTCTCCGCTCTTCGACTTCGTCCAGACATTGAGTGTGAGGCAGTCTTCGCTGTAGGTAACGTTTTCTTGGGATAATAAGGACATCAAGATTTGGACACCTTGCGATGTTATCTGTAGGTCCGGAGAGGACCGAATCTGGCTAGCCGACGTGAAGCTGGTCGTGGCGGGACAGGTATTGCCCTACTAGATGAGCATGGTAGCAGGACGCGGAATGCTTCAAGACTTACGAACGCCGTGGCTTTGATGACGGAGGACCCGTTGAAAGGTTCCGGCGGAGCCCATCGTAGCTTTCCTACCGGGGGCCGAGCGTACGGGATTCCCAAATATTCCGAGACCCCGTCCGTGTCGCTGGCAATCTGACCCTCGATGATACCGCTGGTGGTGGTGACAGGCACGGCCGCCGCCGATCCGACAGCTGCGTATCCGAAGGCGGCTAGGATGGGCAACAGGCCAACCAAGGTACATTTTGCCATCATGTCGGATTCGAGCTGTTGACTAGAAGTTGAAGAGTTGGTAGACTTTCCATCCCAGCGAATCATCTGTTAAATACCTACGCAAGCGGCGCAGCGATGCTGTGGGGACGTTTTTGTGGACGAAGGATCTAGACTACCCGAGGGTCCTTTCGGCTTTATGTGTGGGGGCTGTCCGCGACGAAATTCAGCTTACATACGAGTACCGCTCTTACACTCAATACGAGGCAATACCACAGCTTTCTGCTCACTTCCCTTTCGAACAGTTAGGCACGAAGTTACGCCCGCGATCGTTCACTGCCGAATACCTCGTAGCCGCACACGGCAGGAGAGCCCCAATCCGAGGAACGTAAGACAGTTCGGCGGTCTTGTGGGTTTATTCAGTCGATTAGCTCGGTACCTAAACTATATACACGGCGATTTCTTCATCGGCTACGCGAAGAAGCAATGCTTCAGGGGAAATCAATGACAACCTTGATCTCCTCGTGGTTGTCGAATCGAGCATAGTACTCGGGCGCCTCATCAAGACTGATAGACCTGGTCACGATGAAACTCGGGGACGCTTTCCCGGCTGTTATCAGGGGCACCAGTTCCGCAGCCTTCCGCAGGGGCAGGACGATGCCGCCGTTCACCGTGATGCCGTTCCGGTACGTCTTGCCGATGTCGAAATCCGCGACACCGGCACTGTAGACGCCGATGATGCCGATGCCGCCCTTGAAAGAGGTGACGTCGGCCAGATGACGCATCACGATGCTCGAATTGGTGTGACCTTGGGCGTCCACGGCTTCGAAGCCGACACAATCCACAGCTCGCGTAACACCACCCGGTTCCATAGCCAAGATCTGGTCGACGGGGTCCGAGGTGTTGAAGTTGATTGGAATAGCTCCGATGGACTCGGCAAGGTCCAAGCGACTCTGTACGTGATCGACGCTGTAGACACGCGAAGCACCACGCAGGATGGCGGAGTATGCCGCCAGGAGACCCACCGGTCCGGCACCGAAGATGGCGACGCTGTCTCCCGGCATGAAACCCGCGAAGTCGAGGCCCGACCAGCCGGTCGAGAAGATATCCGAGACGAAGAGGTAGTCGTACAGCGTTTCCTTGGGCGTGCTTGCGTTGACGGGGACGGGGATCAGGGTCAGGTCAGCGAAAGGAACTCGAACGTATTCGGCTGGTATAGGGCACGACTCGTTAGCCACCACCTCGCCGCATGCGGGACGATTCCAATCGTCTCTGGGGGGGATTTACCTTGCATGCCGCCGAGTCCCTGTCCCGCTCCGAACGACCACGGTCTTTCCGGTTCGTAGCCCCAGTGCCCGTCGTCGGCGTTGTCGGGCACCACGACGTAGTCGCCCACGCTAACACTCTGCACACCTTCGCCGACCTCCGTCACGTACCCGATGGCCTCGTGGCCTAAGAGGAAGGGCTGTTCTGGTGAGCCGAGAGGCTGGTGATAAAAGTGAAGGTCACTTCCGCAGATGGCCGAGGCGTTGATGCGCACGATGGCATCTGTCGCGTTGAGAAGCGTCGGCATCGGTTGGTTGATCACACTGACGCTAAACGCCTGGCCGATCATAGCCACACCACGCATGATTGCAGCCATGTTGATACTGCTTGCAGATTGAACAGGATAGGGTATGAAAGTGCCATTGCCACCTATTTATACAGCAAGGTAGCAACCCATCCTGAACCAACCAGGATGAAATTAGTCCGCCGGGATTATTTCATCATGGCAGCAACCTACAATTGGACGCGCGGACGACCGAGCCGGCACGGCATGAATAGTTCTGGGATTTGCCCGAGATAGCGGAAGACACGCTCAAATTACACATGCATTGTTCAGTCGGACCATGTCATATGAAAAGCCGTATCCAGATCCACGGAAGCTTCCCCACAAACGACCTGCAGGAGAGTCGCGCTAATGCAAGCTGCTGACAACGGAGCCTTTCGGAGATAGTGGCTTAATATCGGACCCACAACATGTCATAGTTAGATCTTGGACGGTATCCGGTGCATGGTTTATGCATATGTGGGCTGCAATGGGCCGCTGTCACTTGTACAATAGACGACCGAGAGTAAATTCAACCAATGAGTGCTACCGAGGTCAGGCAAGTCGGGTTATGCAGATATCCCAGATCTTCCCCCTTTTTCTTCCAAGGACATGTTGAAGGCCCGAGTGACGGACACACCCAATAAAAACGGCTTCGGGTAGGGTGGATCATGCCCACTTACGTACCGGTAGGTAAGCAGGTTGCATAAACAATTTTGATGCGAGGGAAAAGGTTCGTAATACAGACCAGGACCGGTGAACTCCGAGGGAGCCAAACCACGAAGCCGATACTACAGTCAATTTCCGACTCGTCTTGATCTCCACTTGGAAAACTTTGATGATTCATGCCATAGCGTGATCCCTACGGTGAGCCAATGCAACAACGAAGGGAATCCAAGATCGACGTAGACCGTACTGGTACGGTAGTAGTCTTGACTGCATCTGGTTAAGCTACCGCGGGGATATCGGCAATAGTGTACTATGTATTGTGGGCTGAGATGACGCATACAGAAAAGCTAGCGGCACCCCTCCTACGCGGTGTTAATGGAGGACCAAAAGATAAGTATTTACTCACCAACTCGCACTCATTACACTCGCCTACTCACACTCACTCCATCACACTCGCCTACTCACACTCACTCCATCACACTCGCCTACTCACACTCACTCCATCACACTCACCTACCATACCTACGCCACCGCAAAGCCAACAGCCTACCAAGCTACGATGGTCAAGACACTCCCCTTCGGCGACATTCAGGTCCCAGTACCTGGTTTCGGGGCAATGGGTCTGAGCTACGGCATGGGACACAATCTCTCGCTGGAGGAAGCCGAACCCGTTCTGTTGAAGGCGATCGAGCTAGGATGTACTTTTTGGGATACTGCGGTGAGCTCAAGCCTTTGTTGTCACGGGTGCGATTCCAAGGTGGCTAACGTCGAGAAAGGTTGTTTATCAAGCCGGTATAAACGAGAAACTTCTGGGTGACTTCATCAGGAAGCACAACGTCCGCGATAAAATCTTCCGTGGGTAATCGAGCGGTTCTCTGGGCGTCAAGATGTCTAACAGACCTGTAGTCGCCTCGAAGTGCGGCTTCAACATCTTCTCCGGTCCCGTGGGTATCACCAACTCGGCCTCGCACATCAAAGAATACATCGAAGGTACTATCGAGAGACTCGGGTTCGCCCCTGATCTCTACTACCTTCATCGGATTGACCCCAGTACGTTTGCCGGCCACCCTGGTGCTTGCTTGTGCTAAGTATTCATAGACACCCCCCTCGAGGAGTCTATCCCGGCCCTGGACGAAATCCGAAAGGCCGGCAAGACCAAGTACATCGGCCTCTCGGAATGCTCCGCGGCGACGTTGCGCAAAGCCAACTCAAGTCAGGCTCGCACATCCTTCCACGACAGATTCCCCGCTGACCATAGAAACAGTTGCGAAGATCGATGCCGTCCAGGCCGAATATTCGGCCTTCGAGACCCTTCACGAGATGGACGGCCTGATAGATACGGCCAAGGAACTCAACGTAGCTTTTGTGGCTTTTAGTCCGCTGGGCCACGGGTGGCTCGTTGATAACTGCGACTTCAAATCTCCCGACGACTTCGCCCCCGATGATTTCCGCCGCACGGGTGAGTCCGTTTTGCGTCGCTACCAAAATACCTGCTAACCCGACTTGCAGTTCCCAAGTTTCAAGGGGAGAACTTCTACAAGAATCGCGCTATCGTCGACGAGATCAAGAAGCTCGCCTCCCGGAAAGGCTGTACCCTAGCGCAGATCGCACTCGCTTGGGTTGCTGCGCAAGGGATGCTTGCCATTCCGGGAACGACCAAGGCCGAACGACTAGTAGAGAACTGGGGATCCAGAGATGTTGAACTGACGGAGGAAGAGATGAAAGAGATGCGAAGAATCGTTGACGAGGCTAAGCCGATTGGGAACCGGTACAGTGCCGCTCACCAATCTTTGGTGGGACACTAGTTGTAATGTATATGTCTCGTACTACAAATATTGTCGTGTCCGACCATGCCCCCCGCTCACCCAAAAATATCAAAAATTTGGTGACTGTAGGATTCGAACCTACCTCCTCCCAGGAGGCCACCAGGCGTTGAACCACTACGCCAAGTCACTCTAAGTGCCTTTTCAGGATGTCTCTCTTATCTTGACCGCTCTGTAAGTCATACTTAAGGCTTTGGTAAGCAGTGAATTTTTATACATGACACCCCTGTCATAAGTCAGCTGAGGAGTAGTGGGACTGGATTAACAATCGTCTTCTGCGAAGCCTGCTATGGGCGAAACTCGAAATGAGATACCGGTAGTCGGTGTGATTCACTGCGTTGGAGGCAAGCCGATCAAGCTAGGTGGAGCTGAGAAGATCATATCAGACTTCCATGAGAGCCTTCTTGGGAATGATAGATCTTTACAGGAGGTGGATGAACTGTTCGGAGACCTTTGACCCGCTTGACGGGGAATATCGATTTCAGATGGGGAGAATCGGGGATTTTGCAGCTATAACTAGGGAGGCCTATTCATACATCTGAGCACAACGCTTGAAACGCACGGACACCTGCTTGTACCAGTCATGCTCTGCTCTGACGCTGCTTGGAGAGGTGGATGCCTTATATGTTTCAGAGCCAAACGTCTTCTATTATCTACACTGATCACCCTGACTCGGTTGATGGGTTACTGAGTTGAGAACAACGTATTGAAGATGCCTTGTCTCGAATTGTTTTCTTTGGGGACGACAACATTTGGCCACATGGGCGAGACCGAAGCCTGGCAGTGAAAGGACGGAGCCGGAGGGGGAACGCATAGAGAGTGGGTGACCTCTTCAAGAAGACCAACGTGATGATGAGTGGAAGGGAAGGACTCGGTGGATGTGAAACGACGAGACCGGGGGCTTAGACTCATTGCTGAGACTATAGATCATGAGCTCCATGGTTTCTGATCTCTCTGAGCAATATGCCCCTATCCAAGTATCAGGAGGATCCATTCTATTGTAGATACACGCTTTCCTTGATCTCTCCTGCTTAAGGGCTACGATCTTCCAGGCTATCCTCTTCTCCGCCTTAGCATTTCGAACTGCTTGGCCATTCTGATCTCGATGTGTTCAGCAAGAGCTCTGAAGTCAAAGCTAGGTACCCTTCCCATCTGGTCCATGAATCAGCTGGAGGTCATGGCGAGGCTTCTTCTTGCCTTGCTCTTCCTCGGTCATCAGTGAGGCTACGGAAATGACTACTGTCCTATCTCGATCTCTTTGCAGGTGGGACGAGCACCGCCAACCCATGCTGCCAACCCAAGACATGCTGCCAATTCAAGCAACTCTTCTTCAGAGTACCAACAGGTGATGGCCTACCCTTTGACATTACATAACTGGAGGTCCGGTCCACCCTAGGTGATTAGCTCATCTTGTCGGAGCTTGAAAGCCCGACTATGGGATCACCTGACTTAGGGTCTACTTTTGCACCAAAATGGTTCGAGGAATCAAATTAGCAATTCGTCTTTCTTCAAATACATCGTGGTATTTTCCTGTGTTCTGTTTCCACCCCTTTCAGTGTCTGACTCCATAAGGTTCATGGGTGGGCCAGGCCTGCCTATGCAGGCCATGCAGGTCATGCAGGCTATGCCAACTCTAAATACCAGTCAAGCACGGCTGCCCTCTTACCATGAAAGGAGGCAGTCACGGTAGTAGACAACCTTAAATAGACCATATGTCCGCATCATGTTGAACATCTTCACGAACAACAGCCTTCTGCCCTGCGACCACCAACGACCATGTCTTTCTTTGAACAATTGAACGAAGCGGCTTATGCCTTGACCGAAGGCATATCTATAACGCAGGAGATGGCCAACGACGAAGAGGTGGGAGAGAATGGGCAAGGGATACTAGACTACTTCCTGTCCGTAGTCCAGTCGGCTAAAAATCTTCATGGAGACCTAAAGAAAGAGATGGGGAAGCTGGACGAAAGGAACTCTCGTCTTCGAGAGGCAGAGGAAGACCTGATTCGCAGGCGCGAGAGTCTCGAGTCCCGAGAGAATGCACAGGCCGTTCTCTCGGAACTTGGGACCAAGCTAGAAGCCCTGGGTATCCGAGACAAGGAGGTTACTGATCTGGTGGTAACCCAAGACCAGCTGCGAAAACGAATGGTCGAGTTAGATCAGCAGGGTCGAGACTTGGTGATCGAGGAGATCACCCGGTTGAGATCCAATGCTGTATCATCGCTAAAGGAATTGACCGATGGGGTCACGCAGCTGAGAACCTCTGCCGATACTACTAACTCGGATCTAGGAACCAGACTCGGGGGCGTGGACCAAGTCCTTCAGGGGCTAAGTACTTTCCAGTCCCAGTTTCTGGAAGATGTCCGGGCGGCTGCCCAGTCGCTTGGGGAGCTGAACGCAGCTCTTTCCCGGGTGACTGATCTGACAGCCGCCAATGGTCTATTGGCAGAAGAGAAGGGCGCTGCGGATGCTGAAGTCACCCGATTGCAGCTGATGGTCGATAACCTGCAGGGACAGTTGACTGGTAAGGATGAAGTCATTACTGACCAGACGAATAGGATCAACCAGTCCCTATCCGCTAGAAGGGTCCTAACCGAGGACTACTCTGCTATGTTCGAGGACCTAGACTCCACAAGACAGAGTCTGGACTCCACGAGACGGAGCCTGGAAGCTAGGGATGATCTCATAAGCGATCTCAACACCGGAATCGACCAGCTTCGGGCACAACTCGGTACTAGCCACGAGAAGGCCGAGACTGACAAGAATACGATCGAGCAAATGCGAACCGATCTCGCTACCGGCCGGGACAAGGCAGAGGCTGACAAGGCCATGATCGAGCAATTTCGAATCGAGCTCGCTACTGGTCGGGAGAAGGCCGAGACTGACAAGGCTACGATCAACCAGCTTCAGGGAAAACTCGATGCTAGCCATGACCGGGCCGATACCGACAAGGCTACGATCTCGCAACTTCAAACCGAGCTCGCTACCGGCCGGGAGAAGGCCAAAACCGACAAGGCTACCATCGAACAACTCCGAGCCGAGCTCCGTACGGCAGAGAAGGAGGCACACGCCAACGTCGGGAAGTTAGGCGAGAAGATAAGAGAACTCGCTACGGCGCAGGAGTCGCTCGAAGCTTCGCGGGTTGAGGTCCAGGGCCTCGCCGTAGAGGTTAGGGATCTCAATCGCGATGTAGAGCAGCTCGAGAGAAGGATCTCCGAAAAAGACGAGGAGATCCAGCGCAGGACCGAGGAGGCCGCGAACGAGGCCACAAATGCCAACGCAACGGCTAGAGGCTTGCTGGAATCGAACCGCAAGCTCGAGGAGGAAGTCAAGACTCTCACGAAAGAGAAGAGGCGCGCCTCTGTCCTCCTAGGCCCACTCTCGAAGCGACAGCGCTTCGAGGGGGACGCCGAAGGGGACGACGAGGACGCCGAAGGACCAGATCAGGCGAGGGGTGATTGGGTCGGCGCGGTTTACGAGGTGACAGCATTCTTGATGAAACACCAGACCGTCGTCCAGCCCGGCTCGTCGCTGACCCAGTCGGAGGCGGCCGCCACGCTTTGCTCGGTGTCGATGACCGGTCCCCCGAGGGATAGAATATCGGCACTACTCCACAGCAAGGAAACGGAGTGGTACTGCCTGCAGCAGCTATCAGAGCACGGTAAGTCATCTCAGCGGTCGTTTATTCGAGACGATGGGTCTTGTGCATGGCACAATCAGTGTGTCCATGTACGAGTAGACCACCAAGAACATCGCAATATATTTATATTCCGTAGGGGGGAAATCTAAATGGATTAGATAGGTATTAGCTTACAAGTAATGGAACTATGTTCAAATTTCTCACTCTTGTGCCTTTTCGTACTCCTGTGCTTTGTACTCCTATGCTTCGTACTCCTGTGCCTCTTCGTATTGTAATGGCTCTACCAGGCCAAAGTCGTTCCCCTGTGCACAGTAGTCAACTCTAGGGATCTGGTAAGGCGAGTTCCGCAACAAGAACCGTGATCCGCTGCCTCGAATAAAGTCAGGTGAGGATTCTCATCGAGTTCGTCGATTCATGGGGTCAGATCACACCAGAATAGACCAGGCTCTCAACAAGATCCGAACCTAAGGGATGCCCCGTGATATGTTCATTAGAACTTTAGCTCTGTAGCTACGTAGCAGTTAGCGGGTAGGAATTCTATTTCACCAAGTACCAGTATTCGAGCATGGGTTTTCCTCCCTGCCTGTTAACTCTGGGATCAAGCTTTCGATTTCGTAGTAGATACGTCTCGCTCGACCTGGTTGGACATTGTGAATTTGACGTCTGTGGCAAAGTTGGCTAGCAAGTGTCTAATATTTCGGGTCGGCAACCCAATGAGCAACGGTTCGGCTGTGGCATTTGACACTCGAGATACCCATCTCTGTAGGACGCTTGAATCCGCTCTCATTGGAGCAAGTGAAATTACGACGATATCTCAAGGGATACAGGAATCTCAGAGTCTAAGGGAATGCCTAGCGAGTGACTTTGGAGTCATTTAACCTTGGTCATCCAGTCCCCATGAAATGATACCCCTTTTCATCTTGTGGCGGTTTGGCTAGCTTTGAGGATTACGATGGCTGTCCGCGTTGTTCTAGAGGATATCTCGATAGCCTAACAGGCAAATCTTACTAGAATATTTATTCGTAGACGCTGTAGGATTATAGCTCCGTAGGGATACCTACGCACTCACTCGCTCGCCGCAAACATTCGATCCCAGGAAATATCGAGATCCTATCCATACGAAACGAAAAAGCCAGTCGATCTTATAGCAGACGAAGACGGATTCGGTTCCGCGTCACCCAACAAGGTCCCCAGGCACCACGACATCGTCGATGTATGAGCAGATCGATCTGCTCGCAATATCCTTACTAAACCCATTGTTCTGCTCGCATCTAATTTCTACATATAGTGCGAGCAGAACATACGATTCTCGGTCTAACCTGCGTGCACATCGTTCTGCTCGCAATGTCTTAGGCGGACGGCTTGTCCTGCTCGCATGTAGTTTTTAAATATTCAGCGCCGAGCACACATTGGGTCACAGTTGTCGTTATCCTAGAGCCTCCCCAAGAGCATATTGGATGGAATACGCTGGAATTCAACGCCGTCGTAACGT